CCTCACTACGTACAGGAAAGTGGCCATCTAGGGCAGGAGAGCTGTCAGCCTGGCCACCCAGGAGCAGGTTTGCATGAAAATCAAGGTGGTCCAGTGAGACCCCCGACCCTGAGCCCTGAGCTTAGAACATAAGAATGGCCGTACTGGGTCAGACCAAAGGTCCATCTAGCCCAGTAGCCTGTCTGCTGACTGCGGCCAACACCAGCTACCCCAGAGGGGATGGACCGAAGACAGTGACCAAGCCATTTGTCTCGTGCCATCCTTCTCCAGCCTTCCACAGAGGCCAGGGACACCATTCCTACCCCCTGGCTAATAGCACTGCATGGACCCATCCTCCATGACTTTATCTAACTTCTCTTTAAACTCTGTTATAGTTCTAGCCTTCACAGCCTCCTGTGGCAAGGAGTTCCACAGGTTGACTATTTGCTTTGTGAAGAAGAACTTTCGCTTATTAGTTTGAAGCCTGCTACCCATTCATTTCATTTGGTGTCCTCTAGTCCTTCTATTATGGGAACTACTGAAGAACTTTTCTTTATGCACCCTCTCCATACCACTCATGATTTTATAGACCTCTATTATATCCCCCCTCAGTCTCCTCTTTTCCAAACTGAAAAGTCCCAGTCAGTCGTCCAAACCCCTGATTATTTTAGTTGCCCTTTTCTGAACCCTTTCCAAGGCCAAAATATCTTTTCGGGGGTGAGGAGATCACATCCGTACATAGTACTAAAGATGTGGTCGTACCATAGTTTGATACTTCCCCTCCTCCTTCTTCCTCTGGCTTCCCCCTTCCAGCTCCCTCCTCCCAGGTTTCCCCCTCCCCTCTCCCACCCTCTCTCTTCCCCTCTCCCACCTCCTTTTCCCAGTCTCCCCAAGTTTTGTTCAATAAAGAGAGTTTCTATTTTTGAACACACGTGTCCTTTATTTTTTACATCAAGAAGAGGGGCTAAGGAGGGGTAAGTGGAAGGAGGTGAGGGAGGAATGGGGTTCGAGCCCCCGATGAGGAGGACTGGGGTGGCTCTGCGGGCTCCTGGGGGTGGAAGCTCTCCTGCAGCCCCCCGACTGACACTCCTCCCCCCCCGGATGGCAGCCTGTGGCCAGT